GATAGTTCTCAATAAAGGTACGAATAAGAGAAACGTCATAACTTTATGCTTAGCCGTCAACTCTAGGCATATCATAGCCTAAACATTTTCCCGAATCTGAATACTTGCCCCGATGCCCGCACATAGGATCAAACCTCACGTATATATATACATACTCGTAGCGCGTAGTCATCACAAATAATTAATGTAACTAGTACCTCCACTGAGTTTAAATAAAATACTCACCTCGAACAGGCCGCAACCCTGAAACAATATGCTCCTGAGAACTCCCAGTTCCCCAAATTCATAGAATACCTGAACCATTGTAATTGATCACAAGCCAACACTCGAATGACTATCACATCCTTCATGCACGATCATCCCACTAAAAATATATTCATAATTCTTCCGTGCCACATATTAATAATTTGAATATCAGCAGTCTATAAACTAGGTGAGTATCGCAATACCGATGAGATACGAAAGTCAAAACATAATGCGCATTTTGAAATGCGCACCCTTCTCAGGGATTATCAACCAATTATAACATTCATCTAAATATATAAAGCTGACCATTCTGTCCAGAATTCGTGACTTTCCCTTCAAGAATGAACTGCCACCTTGTACATATAAAGCTTAATCCCGCACAATACACCACATCTATCATGACATCATATGAAAAATACGAGAACCCCATAATCATTCGGAGTCACAAGTAGAATACATATCCGATCAGCCAAAAGCCTTCCATTTGATCCCATCCGGTAGAAAATCACAATACTCAATATGCTCCTCAGGCCGGTAGGAAAATACCCATCTCAAACCGTGGTAGAAATCCTCGAGAATGCCTTGGAATCCATTTGCACATAATCAAGCCATGCAGGTCGCCAAACCCAAGAGTATTTCTACAAAGCACCTGTAGAAAAGCCCCCCACATCATAAGCACCCAAAGAACAGATCATATCCATTACCATACTGATCCAACCTACTACCAAGTTGTCCTATTTCTCCGAGCCCCTTCCGAATTTGTCTTCAGATTGATACTTCTCCTTGCTAAAACGACACGATCTTTAACCACAACTCACCCCACAAACCTTAGCATAGAACTACGACGCCCTACGTCCCATAAGCAATTGTATTCTTCTTAAGCACTTTCATAAATACCACAACTGTAACACTCACTCTGAAAATACCTTATGTGAATATGAAATTGTTCTTCTTACCTTCCTTATACAAAAATGTAGAATCCATAGTCATACGGAATTTTCGCAAGTCCAGGTACCATCAAATGCAAGTCTCAGATTTTTATCCATACACAAGTCCGGAGAAATTCTCAATTGCTATATATAAACCTCGAACCTATTGGAACTTTTCTCGAGAGTCTCCCCCTTTGTTCAAATCCAAATTACACCGTCCAAATGGGCTTAAAAGATACGTGCCCCATTAGCACAACAATACTCAAAGAAGTAACTCTACTTTAATACCACCTAGCAAACTCATACTCCGTGCGCACTACATCATTTACAAATAACAACTCACTCATCCCACAATTTTTATATACTCATAAAGCGCAATATTACCCGTATCCAGAAATTTCCTTATTCGAGTTATTCTCGAACTCCACCTATGCAAGTCATAACTAACCACAAATACGCCTCAACCTAAAATTAAACCTTTACATATAACCATGAAATTGAATTGTCAATAGCAGGCTTTCCCACTTGGCTCAAAGCCATAGATTAAAACACTCGATAACTCACAATACACATACTCTATTACTGCCTTAATACCGCAACCAGTTCAACGAAAATTCTTTTCAAGCTCATATCATGCCAATCATAAAAATACCTCAATCGCCCGCTAAGCTCGCATCCATTCCCTTAACACTCAAGTCAACTTTCTCAACCATATTCAAATTCAAGTCTTAACACATACGCCCTGCTGGCAGAAAAGAAACTATCTATTCACATCATAAGGAATACACCTACGTAAATTACTCCGCAAGAGATAATCCACCTGCTTAGTCTCAAATTGGCATCTTGTTATACCCTTTCGCAACCACAATTACTATGAAATCACTTAATCTTTCTGAGTCCAAACTCATTAACTAGACACAAGAATTTAATTTTCCCCAAAATTTAACAACGTGAAAGATATTTCAAAACATTCACACTCGAGACTGTACGTCACATCAAAATAAAAATCAAGCACCCAATGGCCTTCCTTTACACTTCAAAGAAACACTTCTCGTCACATTCAAATCGTCTTAACACATCCCGCAGTCACAACATACTCATCACAAGGCCATTCCACCGCTCACCGAACCATAAATTCCACTTGTAGGGACATTACCGGACATATGAGTCCAAATGTACAAGTTACAACTGAAGCTACCGAGCTTAAGCTGCGGTCTAACTATGGCCTCAAGTCCTCCAGACTGGTCCATCACCGAAACACATAATATACTTCTCGAACCTCGTTCATAGAATCACAAGCGGACGATACACAGCTGATACTGAGCGCTCGTGTGCGCATACGAATGCGTGGAAGAAATTCAAAGAGTTATAGCTCAAGATGAATCAATTTCGCACGATAAGGAAGGTCAAACTTCCCAAAAATTTGACTTTCGCCATTTCAAGCCTAATTTCACTACGGACCTCAAAATAATTTTTGGACGAGCTCCTAAGCCAAAAATTACCATACAGAGTTATTGGAATCATTAGAATTTAAATCCGAAGTCGTTTACATATAAGTCAACATCCGATTAACGTTTTCTAACTTAAGTTTTCAATTATGAGACTAAGTGTCTCATTTCACCCTGAAATACTTCCGGACCCGAACCAATAACCTGGTAAGTCATAAAATAACTGTAAAGCATAAATTAAGCAGTAAATGGGGGGAACGAGGTTATAATACGTAAAATGACCGGCCGGGTCGTTACATATATGTGGATGACATGTTGATTGTAGGACAAGGCAAAAAGTTGATTGCCAAGTTGAAGGAAGATTTGTCCAAGTCATTTGACATGAAAGACTTGGGTCCAGCACGACAAATTCTAGGAATGGAGATTATCCGAGATAGGACAAATAGTAAGTTGTTGTTGTCACAACATAAGTATATTGAACGTATACTTAAACGCTTCAACATGATAAGTGATAAACCAGTTAGCATGCCTCTTGCAGGTCATATGAAGTTGAGCAAGATAATGTGTCCTACAACAAAGGAAGATAAAGAAAGTATGGATAAAGTTCCATATTCATGTGCCGTCGGGATCCTGATGTATGTAATGGTATGTACCAGACCTGATATTGCTCATGTTGTCGGTACTGTTAGCAGGTTTCTTTATAATCTCGGAAAAGAATATTGGAAAGTTGTGAAGTGGATACTTAGGTATCTAAAAGGAACCTCATATGGATGCTTGTGTTTGGGGAGATCAGATCCAGTCTTGAAGGGCTACACAGATGTTAATATGGCAGGTGATCTTGATAATCGTAAATCTACTACAGGATACCTGTTCACTTTTTCAGGGGGAACTATATCATGGCAGTCGAAGTTGCAGAAGTGTGTTGCACTCTCTACAACTGAAGTAGAGTATATTGCCGCTACTGAAGCTGGAAAGGAGATGGTTTGGCTGAAACGGTTCCTTCGAGAGCTTGGATTACATCAAAAGAAGTATGACATCTATTATGACAGTCAAAGTGCAATAGACCTTTTCGTTCCTTTAATAATATTTAAAATTATATTGGTAACTAAAAACGACTTTCAAAAATTGGATTTCTATTAAAATATACCATATCTTATTAATTAATTATCTAATATTAGTATACTTTAAATATTATTTATTATATAAAATCTAAATAAGCTTCACTAGTTGTAAATAAACCAAATTAATGAATTAAATCAAATGTATGTTAATTATAAGCGTTTTCCTTCTCACACAAACAAAAGATAATAATATCTAACTTTGTTATTAACCTCCGGATATTTTTAGAAATTTATTTATATTTTTAGTACAGCGCAATAATATCTAAATTTGTTACTTACCTGCTGATCTTTTTAGAAATTTATTATTTTTGCCGTTTTAATTTATATGAATCTATATTGGGCACGAAATTTAAGAAAAAATAAAAAGTTTAAAGTTAAACTAATTCTAAATTAGTAAAAAGATCAATCTTTTTGAAAGACTAAAAACAAAATAAATTCACATAAAGGGAATCATATTTTTAGTAAGCACGGGTAAATTTACTAGTTCTTTAAAATTTTTAAGCCGCAAGCCGCAATCAGCATCAGGTGGAATATTTCACCTCGGTAAAAGCTGTTTCGAACTAATTTGGATACTTTAGAAAAGAATTTCAATCTTTAAGAGAAGTACATAAGTTTAGATCCTCCCGCTTTAAAAAAAATTCTCTTTTAGTTTTTACCAGAATTTTATTTAATTTTTGTTCAATGGTGCATGTATTATAGATGCTGTAGCAATCACATGGATGTTTGAACAAAGTAAGTGGTCATACAATAAAAAGTCAATTTAGTAGCTACAATAGTGGGATTACCAAATCTATCTTTTCTGAGTAAATATATAACATATCTATTATTTTTACCATGGTTAACACCTAGCTTTAATTAATTACACCTGAACTATTGACTTAAAATGGGATGTGTCTACTGTCTATTAGTACAAAAAACTTAGGGAAATGGAAACAATGAGACACAAAGATTTGAAGAAAATACTATCTAAGGCATCAGTTTTGGCCGCATATAAATAGTATATATGTACTAATTAGATGCTAATTAACAATGAACTGACTCAGAAAAAATAAACGTAGGATTACATTATTACTACATCAAAAACATTATTCAAATTATTTGCTTTAATGAGTATCAACAACAAAATGACGTTGACAATATTTTTATGTCAACATTGAAAAGCAAACTACCATATCCAAAGGTCTGAAGAGGCAAGCAAACATATTACTGATCGAGCCCCACTTAGTTCTTTTACAATCAAAGAGAAAGTAAATTAATCAGTTGCATGCTAGCTTACTAGATTGTGCATTCTCTGCTGGAAAAATACCAAAGTTATCATTTGAAGGCACTTGAAAGCACGTTGAAAACAAGTGCTGCTTAGAAACCCAACTTCTGCGATATTGACTAAAAGGGTTAATAATAACCCTATTACTTATCATCAGCCCATGATCTTTTGGATGATATTTACTCGACGACGTAGCACTCTTGATGAACGGATGAGTGAGTAGCATATCCGCAGTCCATCTCCAATTATAATCCTTTTCAAAACACTTGGCCAGAAAGTCCTTGCATATATTAGAAACGTTACTCGGAATCACAGGTTGTTCATGTGTAATCTTGAAGTCCAAATCATCAATACCTTCACAACACGACCATAACCGCCTCCCTGTGATCATCTCTACAACTATGCAACCAAGTGCCCAAATATCAACGGCTTTACCATGAATCCCACAAGCTATAGATTCTGGGGAAGCATAAAGAAGAGTCCCTCTATTATGACGACACTTCTTTGAGCCTCTATCCCAATATGTATGTGTTTCGTTTTCTACCGCTCTCAAAGACAGTCCAAAATCGGCCAACTTGAGGCGCACATCCACAATACTATCATATTCGTGATCGATAGTAGGAAAAACAAGTATATTACTCGGCTTTAGATCGCAGTGAATAAACCCTTTGCGATGAACATGAGAAATCCCTGTTAAAAGCTGAAAAGAATAGTATGCGACTTCTGATTCTTCGAGCATCGTCTTAGACTTAGAGTAGATATCAACTAAATCATGCAAAGTGCCAACGGCAGCATATTCAAGCAAGAGGTTATAAGTGGGTTTACCGTTTTCGACGCTTACATCTTCTCCGAAGCACTGAACTACGTATGGAGACCCTTTCAGCGCATCCAATATTCCTCCTTCCATTGAAAGCGAAGACGAATCCTTCGCTTCTGCGGATTTCACTGCTGTAAAAGTAGACGAACCATCCATTGGTGCTGCAAGAGACACCGTTCCGTAAGAACCCGCACCCAATACCTTCAGCTTTTTCCAAAACATTCTTCTTTGATGACTTTTCATTCTTTGTCTATGTAAACGTATTCTTAACCCTAGCAATGAGAATAGAATGCAGTCTTTACTTCTTTCTCTTTAGTACGTAAACCTAACACAGGATAAAAGTAGACGACGACTTCTCATTAGAGGCCTTCTTACTTATATAATGCATGCCCTAATGTATTTCAGAAAGTTTCCATAATGGGTTAATTATTCGCCAAGTAATTAATTAATTAGGGTTCCCTTATGACAACATAAAAAAAATAAAAATCTTTGTTTCCCAAATCTCTTCAACAACGGCTTTCCAAGCCCCATTTTCTTGCTATTTACTTCGCTAAATTTTTGACAATTATTTTGATGAGCTTATACGGTCAAAACCGAGCTTGTCCTATGTATGACTAATCGAGACTCGAAAATGATAGATAAAGGTTCAACCTCGTGTAATATCGAGTCATGATGCGAATTAGATTGCCGAGCTCGTGACCCATAGACCGATCAAGATCGAGATCGGCCAAGATCAAGACCAAGCAAAATAGAGACTGAAGACCGTAAGAACCCGCACCAATACCTTCAGCTTTTCCCAATACATCCTTCTTTATGATGACTTCTCCTTCTCTGTCTATGTAAACGTAACCCTAAGACTATGGAGTTCCGACAATAGATCCGATCGACGTCAGCTCGCATAAAGCCATTAATGCAAATTTGATCGTCGATCCCGAGAATAGCGTCTGCATGAATGTTCGATCGGTCGCTCAGAGTATACATGGAGGCGAAGAAGACTGAATCAGCCTTCGAATGATCTTCGAGATGTTGCAGGCTCAACAAGCCGCGTTAGCACAGCTTCGAAACCAGAACTATGCACCAAACATGATCGAGCCCAAGCCATCCCAGGAAGCTATTCACAGGGTCGAATCGGTGTCAAGGAAATCGAATGTCAATGAATCGGGGACCGATCCCGCAATCATAAAGATGCTCGAGGAACTAACGAAGCGAGTTGAATCGGGGAAAAAGAAGGTCGATATCAGCCAAGATCGAGACCGAGCAAAATAGAGACCGATCAAGATCGATCGACTAAGATCGAGACCGAGCAAAATAGAGTAAATGTGGTCGGTTGTACTCATACTACACTTATGTACCTTGCGTGCAGATCTTTGTGTTGATGCTGTTGTGTACAGCGAGGGCTGGCATTGAAGATGTACATGCGTTCCAGTTATGGCTATCACTTGTCCTTGGTAGCATTAGATTCAGATTCTGTTCATTTACATTTCAAAAAGATGTTGTAATTACTTCAATTCAGTTTTGTAAAAATCTAAGTCTTAGTGGCTCATGACTTGTACTACCAGTCCTTGAAAATACTTCGTTTAAAAGTTCAGTTATATTATCATCATGTCTCTCAGTAAATCTCATTTGAATTGGATTATTGTTAAATTGGCTTACCTAGCGAGTCAGGTTAGGTGCCATCACTACTAGTTAGATATTTAGTCGTGACAAGTTGATATCAGAGCTCTAGGTTCATAGGTTCTACAAGTCATGAGCAAGTGTCTAGTAGAGTCTTGCGGATCGGTATGATGACGTCCATACCTATCTTCGACAGGCTATATGGCATTTAGGATAAACTTCCCATATTTCTTTTTTTATCGTGCGATATTGATTTAGCTTGAAGCGTATCTTTGAATTCCTTACACTCACTCATATGAATATGTAAGCGCTTGGTATCAGCTGTGCATCGACGGCTTGTGATTATGTGGATGAGGTACGAGATATGTTTCCGGTGTTTTGGTAATGGGCCAATCTAGAGGACTTGAGGCCAGGTTTGGACCGCAACTTAGGCTTGGTAGTTTTAGTTGTGTGAGTATATGCTTTTGGACTTATATGTCTGGTAGTGTCCTTATGAGTTGAATTTGTGGCTCGAGGAGTAGTTGGATGGCTATATGATGAGTATGATGTGACTGCGGGATGTGTTCGGATGGTTTGAATGTAACGAGAAGAGTTTCCTTGAGATGTAAAAAGCACTATTGGGTCCTTGATTTTGTCTTGATTTGATGTATAGTCTCGAGTTATGAGTATGTTAAAGGATCTTTTACGTTTCTTAATGTTGGAACGAATCAGATTCTCATGTCTCGTTGATGAGTTCAGACTCAGGAAAGAATATGTGATTACATAGTAATGGTGGCTGCAAAAGGGTATAGAAAGATGCCAATTTGAGGCTGAGCATGTGGGTTGTCTCCTGCGGGTGGTCTACGGAGGTATGACCCCTTATGATGTTGTATGGAAGCTTTTTTTTTATCAGTGGGTATAGGTGTTGCGATTTGAGTTTGAATTGGTTGAGAAAGTTGACTTGTCCGCCACGAGGATGAATGCAAGTTTAGCAGATGATTTGAGGTATTATGTGGTTTGTGTTACATGATTTTATGAAAGATTTAGTTGAATCTCATTGCGGTATTATGGCAGTAATAGGGTATGGGTATTGTAAGTTATCAGATGTTTTATTCCATGACTTTGAGCCAAGTGGGGGAGTCTTCTACGGACGAGTTGGTTGCACGGTTATGTGTTGTATTGGTTTCGGTCCAAGGCATACTTGTGGATCGGTTATGAATTGCAGATGTTGGTCTGAGGATGACTTAAGCAAGGAAATTTCTGGATGCATAATGTATTACGCTTTATGGGTATATGGGAATCATGGAATGATTGAGTTATTATTCGTGAAGGATGTAGTGCGCGTGGGGTAAGATTTACTCAGTTGCTTAGAGGTGTGGATTACTTCTTTGGGTATCGTCGTGCTAATAGGGCACAGATCGTTCGGTCCGTTTGGGCGGTGCAATTGAGATTTGAGTATAGTGGACAACTCTCGAGAAAGTTCTAATAAATTCAGGAGTTATATGTAGCAATTGAGAATTTTCAAGATATGTATATGGCTAGAATCCGAGATTTGCATTGGATGGTGTCGAGACTTGCGATATTTCTGTATCACTATGGATTCTATATTTCAGTATCATAAAGGTAAAAGGAACAACTTTAAATTTGCAGAGGGTCTCTTTAGAGTGGGTGTCTCAGTTATGGTACTTTTGGGGTACTTAAGAAGGGATACAACGACTTATGGGCCTTAGGGCAGTGTGAGTTTATGCTAGATCTCTTGTGGTGAGTTTTGGGTAAGGATCATGGTGTTCTAGCAAGTAGAAGTGTCACATTGAGGGTAATTCGGAAGGAACTCGGAGAAATAGGACAACTTGGTAGTAGGTTGGATCAGTACAGTAATGGGTATGATCGGTTATTGGGTACTTATGATTTGGTGAGTCTCTACAAGTGTTTTGTGACAACACTCTTGGGTTTGGCGACATGCGTGGCTTGGTTGAACTAAAGAGATTCAGTTCTGATGGCCTGGTTATGTGCAAATGGGCTTCGAAGCGCTCTCGATGATTTCTGCCACAATTTGAAATGGATATCATCTACAAGTATGAGGTATATGTTGCGTGTTATGATTTTATCCTAGATGGGATCAAATGGAAGGTTTCTAGCTGATTGAATATGTATTTCGCTTGTGACTCAGAGTTGATAACGAAGTTCTCGTGTTTTCATATGATGGCATGATAGATGCGGTGCGTCTTGTGAGATTGAGATTTGCATGCACAAGTTGGCGGATCATATTTGGAGGGAAGGTCATGAAATTTTGACAACATGGACGTTTTCATATGATTTGATGAATGCTATTACTACTTGATATTTCTTGAGAAGGGTGAGCATTTCAAGAGGCACACTGTGTTTTGACTTACAGATGCTTCATTGGTATTGCGATACTCGCCTGGTTGATCGTCTGCTGATGTTCAGATGTTGTTGTGTGGCGTGGAAGAATTATAGAAGTATTCCTTATGGGATGATTATGTATGTGAGAGGTGTTAGTCATTCAAGTGGTGGAGTTGGGGTCGACTATGGGGATTCATGTGTTCTATGGATTTGGAGGCTGGGAGTTCTCAGAAGCAGATTGTTTCAGGGTTGCGGAATATGAAGATGTGGCCAAAGTTAGCAAGATGGTAGTACGTGCTATAGTTAGGTCATTGTGGACTTTTGGAGGACTATTTATCCATTTGGGGATGACCAGAATTGATTTGGGGCCCATTGGAAGGCCCGAGGAGGATGTGTATTCTACACCAGGTCGGATTTGTTGACTCACAACTGTTAGTGTTGAGGGGTGAGTCAATCGGTTAGAGTTGAGCTTGTTCATGTTCTAATGTGTTCTATGCGTTCCTATTCTATGCTACGAGGGGTTGTGATTCGTGGGTTATGTGCACACATGGTGCGGTTCTATTTGGGCCTTATAGCAGAATTTGAGCGAGATGGTTATTGGCATGTTGAATGGTTGATTGCTCCTTGGTTGTGTTCATCCGACACGTACACGTCATATGCATCCCGCCTTTTTAGGTTGTATGGACTTGTATGTAACTATTGAGTGTGAGGTTATTCTATATAATATGAATATTTCACCAAAAAGTTTGCTTTTAGTTCAAAATAATCAATATATAGAATCAGAACAAGTAATAGGTGAGATTCGTGTAGGAATATCCACTTTGAATTTTAAAGAGAATGTTCGAAACATATTTATTCTGATTCAGACGGAGAAATACACTGGAGTACTAATGTCTATTATGCACCCGAATTTACATATAGTAATATTCATCTATTACAAAAAACAAGTCATTTATGAATATTATTAGGAGGTCCGTGCAGGTCCAATCTAGTCTACCTTTCGATCCACAAGGATCAGGATCAAATGAATGCACATTCTCTTTCTGGCAAGCAAAGATATACTTCTAACCTCTCAGTAACCAATGATCAGGCGAGACACAAATATTTAGTTTGGATTTTTCTGGTAAAAAAGAAGATAGGATTCCTGATTATTCATATCTTAATCAAATCATATGTAGGGTCAATATAATCTCGTATATTCTCTTATTCTCCACGATAATTCTGATTTATTGTCAAAAAGGTGAAGATTTTTTTATCATTCCACT